TTTGTATTTAGTTCAATGTAGTCTTTTTTTTAAAAACCTTTTTGTCTGACTTTTATAAACCTGCAAATAAAATATAAATTTATAAATAATAATAAACCCCTAACCCTAACAGCCTGACATTTTCAAGCAGCCCTTTATTATTTTAAAGAGTAAGTCTGGTGATTTCTTATTGTTATTTAAAGCTAGAGTAGGCAACTTGGAGAAAGATTGTGAATATATGCAACCGAAAAAATTCCAACCCCTCCCGTCAGGCCTCCCTCAAAAACATTTTTGATGGGCAGAGTACGTGCAGTTAGGTAGGTAGATATACAGGAAGATCAGTAAGAGACATTACCTAGTCCAGCCTTAAGACCCTTGAAAAGACAAAAACTGGCCTGTGTATCCAAAGCCTTATACTTTAAATCTTATTCCTCTGTGCCATAGACCTCCATTTTTATACAAAAACTATAAAAAAAAAACAAAAAAAACCACTGATGAGCCACACTGTTTAATTTGGTGACATGTTCCTTCACTGAGTTGATTGCAAACCCACATTCCCGATGTTCTTAAAAGGACACTACACCAATTTTACACAGTCGGTTTACAGAATTTGGGGGTATGCATATATGCAAAAAAAAAAGCTAATAAACATAAATAAAACCTTTTGTGACTCCGGAGGGGCTCAAGTGATGTCACTTGAGGGAGTGTTTGGGGCTGAAGTCTGAAAATTAAAGAATTTGAAAGTGGGATTACCAGAACTCTGTACATCAATTAACACAATCGAATCTCTGGCCGAACTGTTGCATTGTTCATTGTTCATTTTGATCTTTTCGTGGCATTTGTTAACTATAAGAAAAACAGAGAATACCAGCCATTTTCCATTCTGCACTGTAAATCTTGAAATACTAAGAATCTACAGTTACAGAGCTGCTTACAAATATATTACCTATAAATGCAGTTGAGTGAATTAACAGATTTTATTTGGCTCAATTTGATATTTTTCCACTTCAATGTTATTTTATAGCCTAATAGAGATTCTTGTAAATATTCTAGCAACCAGCTGTGTATTATGACTCCAGGGACAGATTCATAAAACTCTCTTTAGATTAAAGACCAAAAGCTTATACATGCACAATAGCAGAAATATACATACACTGTTTTTTTCCAGATCTGAACACCTGCTTACACACTGTTCCATGTTTTATATAAAAATGTAAGCTCATATTATCCAGGTTGCTGATCAGATGACAAGCTCCTGAACCTGAGTTCCCCAAGGAGCTCGCCGGTGTTCTCGGCAGCATTCCCGCTGGCAGGTATCAAGGGGTCGCTTCTACCAATCTCAAGAATAACTCGTCTATAAGTATTATATTGAGTGTTACCTTACATATAACCCTCTGTGTTCTCTTGTGCTTAGTGTTGGGACTTACTGCCTGGGAAAACGATGCCAGCTGTTTGTTTTACATTGCGCCTCTTGAGTAAAATTTGTAGTTTCTCTCTAGTGCATTTAGTGATTCTGTATTGTTTCAACTGTACTGGTTTAGTTGTTTATTGTTTTGCCAAGACCTTTCTTTGTTAAATCCAGAGTGTGTATATATAAATAAGCAAGACTCTCCTGGGGTCCTTATTTCATACCACTGGACGTCATTACAGACACCATTAAATAAAATATATGAGAGTGATGATCACTCCCACATTTATACAGAAATGGATGTCAACATACCCACTGGACACATATCAGAACCACTGTGGCTTGTCTGGCACTAGCAACATCATCCAAGCAGCCTTTGAGTTGTTATGCACAGTAGGGGTGGGCAATCTAGTTATGATTTTCTTCACAGTATATGCAATTTATTATATAAAGCAATGTAAATATATTGTGATATACAACATTTTCCATAAACTTGATTAAAGAACCTTTCAGAGATAAAATTATCATCTTGTGGATTATCCAGTGAATTAACTACCAGACAAATCACAATGATATAAATATGCTGTAAATCCAATATTGCCATAAAGCAGTCCTGCTTAGCTACCCATGGTATAAATGTTACGGCAAAATCTCTGACAGCTGAAACATTTCTGTCAGCTCATGGTACATCTTATCACCCACTCATAAAGCACAGCCATTGGCGCACACAGCATTGTGAGATAATGCACAGCTGCTAGATGATTGTAGAGGTATACCTGGCTAAAATGACTGCAGAGTAAAAAACTTTAACTTGCAATTTTCCTGCCTTTTTTGCTGAAACTGATTCAACTTTATTGTCATTTCTGGAAGCTGTAGATTGTGGTGCTGTTAATTATCTTAAATTATCTTGCTTGACACGGAGAGGTATTTCTGCCTACCCCATTTACATTACAACGATATAAATGACTGTGAAATCAGGTTACTGGTATTGTCTGATATACACTGAACAAAATTATAAATGCAACACTTTTATTTTTGCCCAATTCATCATGAGCTGAACTCAAAGATCTAAGACCTATGTACACAAAAGGTCTATTTCTCTCAAATATTGTTCACAAATCTGTCAAAATCTTTGTTAGTGAGCACTTCTCCTTTGCCAAGATAAGCCATCCACCTCACAGGTGTGGTATATCAAGATGCTGATCAGACAGCATTGCACAGGTGTGCCTTAGGCAGGCCATAATAAATTCCCTTCTAACTGGGTTACACATACTTTACTACTGTAGTGTTTTGATCATAGACTGTATAAAAGAAGTGGACATAGTCATCGTGATGTCACCCGTTGGTTTGTGGTTTTGAAGCCTCGAGTTTGGCCATGTTGATTTTTTGCAACCAGGAAGTGCCCGGAAGTGCCATATTTGGACGAGACGTGGAGCTAACAGTCGTGTGTGGAGCTAGTTAGCTTGCTTAGCTAGGTGCATGTGTAATTCACCTTAACTAACATTTTAACAAGGCTGATAATTTTGTCTAGCAAACAACAGTCTTAAAACTAAATGTACTCACCAGAGAAAGTGAACAGCCAACTCCTAATAAGATTTTTCAACAGCGCTGGTTAAATTTACACAGTGCTGTGGGCTCGAATCGCTCTAGCCTGACTGACAGGTCGCCATGGTAACAACTTGTCAATGACAGATAATCCCGCCCTGAAGCATACTCTGCTTTATGGTCTATTTTAAAATAAATGGGACCATTATATACTAAATGAACGTCATGTTGTACTGAAGAAAACTTGAAACTAGCATTTGAGACCATAAACTAGAATGCAGGTTTAAGGGACTTTCACATTGAATTCGCGTCTCAGACCAGAAGTTTCCCGTTTGGTTTTGATAAACACAGTTGAGTCTTGTCAATAGCCTACATATGTTGCTTTGTCATTTCTGTATTACTGTTCCACTTTCTCAGATTTCTGCCTTTTTTTTTAAGCAGGGTGTCAACCAAAAGACTGGCCAGTGAAATATCTGGTGATGAAAAAAAGTGCAGCTCCATCACAGAAGAATGAATAATGCTAGTGTGTGTCGTAGATGTTACATTTAGCTCATTATTTATCTAGGTCTCTAACAGGAGGTAACAATTTTGAGCTAGCTTGCTGATTATATTTATCTAATAATTATGCCATTCATGTAATAAGCATGTGTCTCACATCATGACACTCAAATTATTGTCATTGTCATGCTCATCAATTTTGCTTTTATTAAGATGAAGCATCCTTTGTATAAGGCACTATTAGTGCAGCCAACAGTCACTGATTTCTGTAGATTATTATAAAGTAATTAAAAAATTATTATTAAGATAAGAAAGAGGTCTGCAAGGAAACCCAGTTTAACCCCCAATCGTTTAAAAAAAAAAAAGAAAAAAATCACGGTTAATCACATGATTTTCTGCGATTAATCGCATTGTTATGCGCAAAATCAAATAATGAATTCTAAAGTAGTGTATTGTACACTTTAAATGTACTGCCATATACACAAAAGTACAATAACGTGGTTTGCAAACACTTTAAACAAATTAGGTGCTTTTTACCAGCAGTATTCCCTTTACACAACAGCAATAAAATATTTCTTGTAAATTTCAACTTAAACATTAATATAATCAAATCAAATATAAAACCAAAGCTATTTGCCACTGCCAGGGCATTACCTTTTATGTAGCTTGTTAAAACAAGTTAGAGTCCAGAGCCACAATCTTAACATCATAACAGGCACCTTCTGAGCAACAGGTTAACATATATAAATCTGTTTTCTTGTTTTTTTTCTGAACATGCATCAGTAGAAACATTTTTTTTTTCATCAGGGAGCAGCATAAACAGTCTATGTTCAGTAGCAAGTGTCCCTGTTAGAGTGAGGTGAAGTGTCACGGTTGTGCCTCACGCACATGCCTGCCATCAAGTTGAATTGTCTTGAACTATTTGTATCCGATGCGCAGCACACATCATTGGAAAAGAGACTTGTTTGTAAGTTTCCAGAATCTATTACTGTTTACTAAAGACACTAAAGAGCATCCCTGCAAAACTAGATGAAGGCCCATCAGGTAAAGTTATGTAGCCTATAATTTTAACTTAAGTTAGGCTACAGCTGTGAGAGCACAGAAGCAGTTCAAAAAAGGCTAATAATAAAAACTGCGTTAACATGCGAAAAAATAATTGTCGGCGTTAATTAATTAATGCATTGCGTGCCCAGCCCTAATATATATGTGTGTTGTTAATTGGTGTTTAAATCCTAATAAAACAGCAGGTTTTTCCACCTTAAGACAGACTGCTATTCACAGCTGTGTAACGTACGGCACTGAGCCAGAAGCTTTAAGCACCAAGCCATTCACTTGTTTCAGCCATGTGGGTAAACACACTAGACTCAGCAGAAACATAGTGCAGCACCGAAATAAGCTTTGAGATTCACTGTGATTTTGAATATTGAATGTATAGCTGTTCCATTTTTATAGGTATGCAATGCTGTCAAAACACTTTCACCATGAGCCAAATGTGTCATCTTCGTCAAACATCAGAAGAATCTTTGTTAAAAGTTTGAACAAAAAGGAGTGTTAAATAGCTTTTTCCTACTTGTGCACTTTTTCAGCCCGGACCCTTTCTTCACGGCGTGTCGGCTGAGCTTGCAGTTGAAGTTGTTCTCCCAGAACTCTGCAAACCAGATATTCCTTCTGTTGTTTTCCAGCGTTCGGCTGATGAAGTAACGATCAAACCCTAGACAGATCAATGGGTTTATGGTCATTGACACAGTCAGTGTAAACAACAGTGTTGGTGCAGTCTGTGACCCAGAGCCTCTGATGTGTTCTACTGTATAATTGATTGAATACTGCATATGTTCAATATACTTTGTTGCTTTGTTTCACTGAAATTTCGTTTTCTGGACATTTGCTGATAAAATTTTCAGCATTACACAGCAACTTTTATTCTTCTTCTTTCTATGAAAATAATATTTCACCTAAATATGTAAATGGTTTTATTATACAATGCTCTTCTCTGTACCTTTGATGGACTGCCGCTTAGGCAGAATGGTGACTGCACCCTCTGCCATCTCCTCCTGGTGCACAACCGGAGAGATCTTTGAGCCCCAGCTGTCCGAACCCACCCAGATGAAATGACCGGTCTGGTTGGCCTTTTTAGCTGCATGGAGTAGCCGCCTGCAAAGGAGAGGAAACAGATGTTTCAGTGGATAAGGTCAGCATCCCGACCAGCTCCACTTTGATTTTGTTTTGCGATTCATTACACAGTGGTCTGGCAGAGGTTGACTGAAACGGCTGTGTTCCCACATGTTTCTCTGCCGTCTGCGGGAGGCGTGTTTTTTTTTTTTTTTAATCTTCAAAGGGGTGTTATGTAGCTATTGCCGGGCCTTACCTGATATCGTCTTCGTTGGCAAAAAGTATAACTACTCTTGCGTTTGGGTTTTCTCTGAGTCGCCGAATGACCTTGTCAAACTCTCCCTGCTTGGGCTCCCGAGGAATCTTGACGGACTGGGAGATGCACACACCCCCTAAACACACAAACAAGTTTATAGATATGTCAATATGACAATTTAGAAACAATATCTTCACTAGAAATAAACAGTGAATAAAACATAAAAAATGGTACTTTACATATTTGTTCCCTGAAGTGTGATTGACCAGCAGAAGGATAATTAGCTTCTAAAAGAAAGCCTGGTAAGACCTTTTCCTCATCAACAGTATGTGGGTTTCACATCAGATCAGGTCTCACTTGGAACATATCTTTAGTAGTTTTGTGGGACAGGAAATGATGTCACAACGTGTGTATTACGTTGCTCTAAATTTTGAATAGAGCATTAAACCTTCCTGTACTCATGTGGATTTAGCAGAGACTTTTATTTTGAAAAGGTTCTCGTAAAAAAAAACAAAAAAAACACACAAAATTTCCTACACTTTTGAGTCCTTGCAAAAGCAGACTGAAAAACAAACAAACAGCGTAATGTGTTTTGTGCAGTCGAAGCAATGTTTCCAGTGCTTCAGGATTTCTTGGGTGAGATTTAGAGTGTCTGAGTGTGTGTCGTGTTGTCTGAAGGATTGCTTCTTAGCATCCTCCAGCTTTCGGGACTTTAGGGACCCCAGCCAAGAACTGTCTTTGTACAAACCGTACACTGTAGATCCAATACAGATACATACTGTACCCATCACCGTTGTAACTGGAGACCAGTTAAGTGTCAGGAAGCTAATGTTTGTAAATAACTCTTGGCCAAAGTGAGTCTGTGTTCTCCAAAAAGCAATCAGAGGAAACAACTAGCAGGAGTGAGACTACTGAAAATTATTGAACATAAATGCAAATTAATTAAAGTTACACATTCCTCTACCTTGGCTGAGTCATGTATTCATGCACAACCTACACACTCAACAACCTGATACATGAAGCTCATACAGACACTAGTACAAAAATGCTTCAACCATTGTTATTTGAGGATTTTTAAAATAGATTATTGTCCTGTGCAGTCTAGACTGCTGTCATTCTGTGGTTTTCCAACTGGGTGCCCAGCTCAATGAGGGGACAGCTAAATCTGTCCCCATTTAGCTGTCGAAAAAACGCTTGAGGTCTGAGACCCCGTATTGGATGAAACTGGCTCATTCTTTCACAGCCGTCACCAAACCTCGTTAAGTTTGAGAAGGTCAGACAGAATTTCTGACCCTGTCCTAGGAGATGCAAAGATTTTAAATTATGTCAGTGAAAATATCTGCAGCAATTTCGCATTGAGAGCTGTGTACAGACATGTTGAGTGGTGGCCTGCAATAGCCAATGAGAGTTTATGACAAAAGAAATGAATGCAGGCTGTCTACTCTGCACCCAACTAATTTTATCCAAGTTTATCATCATCTGACCCTTTAAATATTTTGTTTCTTTTTTCTGCATAAATGGGTGCACATATAACAGATCATAAACACCTCCTTCTACTTAAGCTCAGTTTTTACAAATTATGGTAAAAAGAAAACATCAGGATGAAGGCAGAACAGCAGGATATCAAGATCCCTCACCATCAAATAAATCAAAATAAAATATTAATGTAAATAAAAATGTATGTTCTTAACATGTCACACAGCCTGCAAAGCTGATTCGTCAACTGTTTCTTGAGCAGGAAGTGCATTGTGTGGTTGAACCTAAAAGCGAAGTGTGATATTACGGCTGCACAATTAATGTAATCGCAACTGCGATGTTGTCATGTGCGATTACATAACCAAAAGGTGTGCAATTTACTAAAACAGAAAAGGTGTGTGTGAGGCTCTCTTCTCTGTGTGCGCTGCAGTCTGCTCATCATCTCCACCAACATCGGACTCTCGCATGTGCCCCTAAAAACAAATAAGCCTACGTGCAATGAGAAAAATGATGAGCAGTTATTATGGTATCATTAGTTAATCATGAGCAGTCTGCAAGTAACTTTAGGACAACAACCTACCGCAACCTCCCGCCCTGCTGCAAATCGTTTAAAACATAGTCGGACGCGCCACCGGAGCAACGAGAGAAATGCCAGTGCTCTGGTCGCTCTGTGACAGAGACAGAGAGAGGTTGGCAGCAGCTGAAGCAGTAAGACATAAGAAAATTGGGAGAAGATAAGGAAGGTTTGGGTTTGGGTCACTGCCATTTAACGTTAGCTGTATTGGTGCCTTTTGTTGTTAAACATGTTCAACTTTTCACAGAGCCAACTTGCTTGTAAGTCACTTTTCATCAACCGACCTGGATGGGGCGGGCCATTAAAAAACGTTTGACAAGCTATGGCAGATCATTAAATGTTGGACAATATGATTATTGTGAAGTTAACACTAAGCATTAACAAATTAGAGACCAATGTAGAGCCCTTTTCCTGCAAAAGGATTTAATGAATAAAAACCCCAACAGAAATGAAACAGCTCTAACTGGACATAATATTCAACTAGTGGTAAAATAGTTTATTATTATATGAAATTATAATCATTGTAGTATTTAATATATTATTGTTATATCAGCAGTATACTATTAACTAAACATTATACTCTTTATTTAATACACTCATGTACAGTTCCTCCACCAGGTTATGGAGACTCTGCATTAGACAGATGTACACTGAGCTGGAGCCAGGATGCCAGTGTGCCAATATGTGTTCCTTCTAGCTGCCTCTTCCATAGAGCAACACACTCGCCTTGTTCTGTTTTACATCTGTTTTACTAGTTATTGTTATAAATATTGTTTATTGTTTAACTTTGTTCAAGTTGAGGAACACATTTCAAAATGTCAGTATTTTGTGCATTTTCCTTGATAATTAAGCAAGCAGACTCAGAGTACCATTTGTTCCATTATAATCGAATCGTGAATCGCAATATTGTCCACAATATTCGCAATATGACTTTTTCTCCATATCGTGCAGCCCTATGTGGTATCCCTAAAAATCACACTTTAAATGTGTGGATGCCTCAAATCATTTATGTTAGACTGTGTGTCTTGACCGCAGTGATGAGAGCATTTCATCACTTCAGCCATTTGTGTGTGATGACCCACTTGTCCAGTTGACTGAAACAGCCACTATTATTGGTCAGTTTCGATGTTTAAGTGAGAAGGCTGCAAATGCCACCATCATTTTGCAGTTTCTCGCATGCCACAGTAGATCCTGGTGTTATCTTAACAATGTGTTCACTACAACTAATGGAAACGAATAGTGACAAGGTGCCGCTGCAGAGTTTGGACAGCCACAGTCATAAAATCTGTAAATACAATTTATACTTTTTGCCTTCCAGATAAAAAAACTGACACATAGTATGTAAACACAATCTCGATTTTCAACAATTTCATCAACAAACAGTGCATTTGTTTGTATTTGAATTATGTGAACACTGGATTCCACCACCACTAAATCACATTATGTTGTACAACACTCGCATGAACAAACTTGCCACATGAACAAATAAAGCAATGATTAGACTTAGACTGCAGAGAGAAGACATTTTTATATATACATGATGGCAAGCTGTCAAAATGTGAGTGAGTTTTAACAGCATATCAAAAGCCAAATTGAGGTCAATCAGTTGATGAGGCAGTCAAGCAGATTCTCGCTGCTCTTAGCATCAGATCCTCACTCAAACACTGTTTAGTATAGCTTTGCAACTGCAGACACTGGGTGTGCAGCATCTTCTCCCTGTTTGCCCATACTACTGATAATATTATTCTTTTTGTTTTTTGCTGTGTCTAAGAGGCTTATTTTGTGCTGCACCTGACCAGGGTATAAAATAGAGTACCGTAAAACTTCGATTAATAGCCCAGGCAAGTGACCCTGCTTATATTTGGGACAGGCATCCATATGGGACAGGCAAACATACCCAAGGTGTGGCAGAAGTTAGCAAACAGAAAGCAATGGACTTCACATGACAGGATTCATAACGTGGATTAATTTTATGAAAAGCTGTTTTGATCGGTGGATCCTTACAGACTAAAGGAATATAAATAATCAAGGATCACATGATGGACACATTCGGACTTAATGAGCGGACTTAACAAGTGGACTTAACAAGCGCTTCAAAGGTAATGGGAGTCAACACTTTTCTTTTTATCTCTTCTACCATGCCAGTTACACCGGTAAATCTATAAGAAATAGACTTTGGCTTGTTGTTTCCATGAAATGAACTGAACATTGAATTGTGGAGAATCTAACCGATCTAATGATGTGTAGCATGTTCATATTGACATATTGATAAGTTTAATTATTAATATTTGTATGCACAGCTTAGAAGCAGCTAAAGCAGGCGACCCGGCGGGATTTAAGAGGTTTTATACATCAGAGTCCTGCGTTTATTTGTCAAAATGTGTTCCCACACCAGGCCAGTAAATGGGGTAATTTGGGACTTGGCTATTAATTTAAATTTTACAGTAACTACATAAAATGACACTTAAACCAGTTTACAGTGTGAAACACACTACAACTACAAGAGTGCACTCTGTAGAGTGTAGATCTCCGCCACAAGTTTCTAGAGTTGTGTATGAGTGCTGGGCAGGCTCTGTCCAGCGTATATGCATGAGAGTAGTGAAATAAGGTGGAGAACATTTATACTGTGTAGGTTTTCTTATATAGCAAATATATCATAGTCTATATATTATATATAGTACACTATAGTATAGTCTCAGTTTTCTTTAAGATGTATAGAATAGTGTAATGGTATTGTAACTGAGCGTCCTGGGTTCACATACCTAATAAAACACACACACATTCAAACACAACATACATAATAAAATGAATATAGACAACAAACAATAAAAGGGATGATGAGTCAAAACACCCCACCATTTAAAACTCCCTCCCTCCCTCTCCTCTCCGAAACAAAGAAGAGTTAAATCCCAACTCAATGGTCCCTCGTATCCCTTACAGTCAAGATGGCGGCAAAGATAACAAAAACGGGGATTTATTCATCTCATATCATGCCTAACTTTAGTGGGTCATAACATATAGGGTTTGGAATTAATCTGCAGATGCTCTGGTTCAAGATCAGACCAAAGTGGTAACACTTTCTATGAAGGTCATCGCTATAATGATTTATGCATACATTTATAACACAATAAAATGCTTTTATAAGACATTAGGGCAACACTGGTCTGAGACCAGGAACATCACAGGATCTCTGTTATGTGCACACCTCCGCATGTCTGGGCGCTGCACTTCTGCAATTCCGAAAGTTCCGCCATTTGCATCCCGTGAACACTACGTTATCAATTAACATTTAGATAATCGATTTGTTAATCAATTCAAATTTTTCCACATCCGCATCTAGGTTCGTCACATTAACAGTCATGGACAGCATATTTCCTAATGTCGTGTAATATATGTTAAATCTGTGGTGCCGGCCCATTGAGTGGGGTGAAAAAATTGATTCTTAGATGCACTGCGATGCGGACGTGAAAGATTCTAAATCAATTACTAAATGTCAAAAATTGATTATCTAAATGTTTATTGATAACGTAATGTTGGATGGCGGAACTTTCGGAACTGCGGTAGTGCAGCGCCCGGACAGTCGGAGATGAGCACAGAGACCAGTGATCTCTTGTTACTGGTCTCAGACCAGTGTTGCCCTTGTATTTGACGCATTACGCCGCTGCTGAATGTATGACCACGCTACTAAAATTTCACACGCTCATCAATTTTACTGCGCAACTAATTATTTTCACTGGC